CTTTTCATACTGTTCATGGGGTTCTCAAGGCAAGAATACTGAAGTGGTTTGCCATTCCCTTCTCCAGTGGACCACATTCTGTCAGACCTCTCCACTATGACCCGACCATCTTGGGTGGCCCCACACGGCATGGCTTAGTTTCATTGAGTTAGACAAGACTGTGGTCCTGTGATCAGATTGGCTAGTTTTCTGTGATTATGGTTTCAATGTGTCTGTTCTCTGATGCCCTCTTGCAACACCTACCGTCTTACTTGGGTTTCACTTGGGTTTCTCTTACCTTGGACATGGGGTATCTCTTTACTGCTGCTCCAGCAAAGCGCAGCCGCTGCTCCTTACCTTGGACGAGGGGTATCTTCTCAATGCCGCCCCTCCTGACCTTGAACGTGGAGTAGCTCCTCTCAGCCCTCCCTGCGCAGCCGCAGCTCCTTGGAGGTGGGGTTGCTCCTCTCACCTATGCTTAGCGTTTATCAATAGGTATACTTTTTAATTTAAATTTACAGTTTCCTTTTGTATAGTTCACTTCCTTTCAACACAATTATATGCACATATACAGACAAATACATATACACATATATGTACACATACGACTTCCGAGGACAGCGTGAAGGCAATCAAGGCTTCAGGGGACAGTGTGAAGGCAACGAGGGTGTCAGGGGATAGTGGGAAAGAAGTAGAAGCTTCAGAGGACAGCGATCGGGAGGTGGCAACAAAAGTAACAGATTCTAAAACAAAGGCCAGAAGCGGAGTTTTAATAAACCATTTGGTCAGTAATTTGAAGTAGAGGATTTATTTGGCAAAAACAGAACTATGTTCAGCAACATGGAACTGAACATTATTTTTCATACAAAGTTGAAAGCACACTGTATTTCCTTCCTGACCACTTGCCCAGTCCCCATCTCTTCAAGAGAGAAAAGCTTCATCTAATTATTTCCTCTGATTGATGACTGTCATTTATAACTTAACTGCTACTTCTGTCTTGGGTATTCCTTTGGAAAAGGTGTATGCATTCATTAGATATTCTAATGTATTGTCTATATGTTATAAGATAAAATCAAGCATGTATCTGCTGTTACTTTTTAAGTTGACCTGTCTTTATACTTGAAATGTCTCTTAATAATAGGCTTCCCTGGTGGCTCAGATGGTAAAGATTCTCCTGCAATGCAGGACCCCTGGGTCAGGAAGATCCCCTGGAGAAGGAAATGGCAACCCACTCCAGTAATCTTCCCTGGAGAGCTCCTGCGCAGTTGCAGCCTGGTGCTCTTGGTCGCCGCCCCTGACCTTGGGCGAGGGGTAGCTCCTCTTGGCCACGCTTCTGCATTAAACAGAAGTTGGTAGCCACATACTGAATTAGACATCTGCATGGCATTAATAGAAGTTAGAGTAAATGCTTATTTGAATTATGAAGTGAAATGAGATAGGCCACTGGTCATATAAATATGCTTTTAATACTATGGCATGAGGTAACCTGATTTTACTGTGTACACATGTGAAGACGCGTCTGTGATGTTTTCTTACATAAAATTTACTCAGTGACTTTTCTTTTTAAAGGTGCTAGTACTTGGAAACAAGAGAGATCTTCCTAATGCCTTGGATGAGAAACAGCTAATTGAAAAAATGTATGTCTTAAGAATGAATGATGGGTTTTTTAAAAAAAATTGGTTCTATTTTGCCCATAAGATACACTGTTTTGCCCACTGTTTTGTTTAGCTTTGCTCCATTATTTAGTAATGATCATAGCCCTATTTTGGGGTAGGTAAACTTGACATACTAGAGAAGTAAACCTGTAAAATTTTATTAGTAATAATATTTCTTCAGTAAATTACTTAAAAGAACAGGTAAAATTGAGCATAGATTGATAAGATGACAATTGTTTTAAAAGCCCAGACTTAACTTTCCTAATTCTGCTTCTTACAGGAATCTGTCTGCTATTCAGGATAGAGAAATTTGCTGCTATTCAATTTCTTGCAAAGAAAAGGATAATATAGGTAAGAAATGACTGATATTTGTGGAGAAGTTGATATCAATAGAAGGAATGTCTCATTCTTTTTACTGTTTATTACCTGTATTTCTGTTTACTTGATTTCTCCTATAAAGTACAATTGCTTTTGCCTCAGGAAAAAGAGTAGGCACTATACCTTTTAGCAACAAATACAGTATCCTGAATCTGCTCTATGCTATTTAAAGAAGTAAATGAAATAAAGACATGAAGTTAATTATGTGCTATCAGCTTATTGTATTTTTGCAGAGCTAGTGTCTTAACTGTGCTTTAGATGTTCTTGAGATAAGACTTAACAGAGGTTGGTTTACAGGCACTGTAAGGATTTTTCATTTATCAAACCAGTATATTACTGCAGTATGTTAGCACTCGCAAGTATAAGCCAAAAATAACCCTTTACCTACTTAATGTTCTGTATTAATTTCCTAGGACTGCAAAGTACTACAAACGGGGTGGCTTAGAAACAGCAGAAATTTATTCTCTCAGGTTTAGGAGGGTAGAAGTTTGGTGTCGGTGTCAGCAGGGCCGTGTTCTCTCTGATGGCTCTGAGGGGGGATCTTTCCCTGCCGTTTCCTGGCGTGTGGCTGCCGGCAGTCTTTGACCTTCTTGGGTGGTAGCTCCACCCTCTTCCTCTGGCTTCAACGTGGCTTTCTCCTCTGTGTGTATGTCTGAGTGTCTGTCTTCTCTTCTTACCAAGGGCACATGTTACTGGATTAGGGCCAACCCTAACCCAGAATTACCTCATCCTATGTCTGCAAAGACCCAATTTCCAAATAAATTCTGAGGTTCTGGGTGGATGTGAATTTTTAGGGGTCACCATTCAATCCAGTACAGTATCCGTAAAGAATAAATATGTCTGACTCAACTGCAGTCTGTTAATTTGGTGAGGGATTGTTTAATTAAAGTGTATTGGCATGGAGATCAGAAGGTTAAAAAAAGAAAAGAAAGAGAAATGTTTGACAAGATGAAAGGCTTTTCAGTGTTAGACAGCTGCTCAAGTGAAAAGACCAGTAACAGTGCAATAAAAAATACTCCCTAGTAAAAGATAACTTTGTGACACAAGCTTCTCAAGCTGTCTTGTCTGGCATGACAGACTCCACTGAAGTCTGAAAGGAGAGTTTGATACGTGTGCCTTGAAGCAGCCGGGTAGGAACCAAGGGATTTTCATGGCTCCTTCACTTCTCCCAGTTGGTGGTTACTGGTGAAAAAGTTTCTCTCAGTGGGTCATTGTAGAAAAAGAGGCTCTCCATCAGGGCTGCGTAGTGGCTAGAAATAGCGTGGGCTTTGGAGTAAGGCAGCCTCAGCGTGGAGCACCTGGTCCTGTTACTTTCTCACTGGCCTTGGACAGAGCACTGAAGCTGCCTGATTTCTGCGTTGTACTCATCTGTAACATGAGGATGGTGGCAGCAACTTCAAAACTCTCTCACAGGAGTGAGTAAAAAAATGAACTGCAGAGTTTAACCTGTGGGGGACATCACAGGAGTATGTTCGTTTTGCTGCTGTCAGTCAGAAGCCTGTCACTGACCTCACTGAGCTAAAGTCTAGGACTGAAATGACAGGCGAGCTCCTTCTGGAGACTGTAGATGGCAGAATCCATTACTTGGTCCTTTTCCGCTTCTAGAGACTGCCTCTTCTCTTGGCTCATGGCTCCTTCCCCATCTTCAAATTCTCTCTTGCTCACCATTCTTCCATAGTCATTTCACCAATTAACAAAGTAGATCAGAATAAAATGTAATGAATCAGTAGTGCCAAAACTGTGTGTTTAAAAAGTTTTTTGACACTTTTTTCTTTAGCCTTTATTCAATATGTATTGTTTCTCACCATACTTAACTTTTTTCCCCCAGTCATTTCCATTCTGTATCTCAGCTCTTGCCCTTTTCCCCTCAGACCTGCTCTAATTAGCTTATAGTACTGATGGTTTTTCTCACTGGTTCTGGGCTTCCTTTAAAGACCACCCAGAGCAGTCTGAGCCCAGTACATTGCTGATGGACACAAACTCTCCTCTGTTAATTAGATAGAATAAGTGACTTGTTATTTTTGGATCATCTAGCTCATTTGAGAACAGACTGTTCCAGCACTTAGTTACTTCAAGTTTATTTAAAATGTTTTTCCTATGTTGAGGGGAACTCTTGTTAAGTTTTAAGTTGTGCCCCCACGAGAGCATTTACTTACACAGCAGAGGTTTTCACGGAGGTATTATTTTTCCCCCAGAGACATTTGGCATTTTTCCCCTGGAGACTCTCTCACTTGTCTTAGTGAGGAGAATGATGCTGGCATCAGGTGGGTGGAGACCAGGGTGGTCCTAAACATTCTGTCGCCTCCAGAGCTGAGAATTGTTCAGCCTGAAATGTCAGTAGTGGCAAGATTGAGAAACCCTGTTCTATACTAACCATGATTTTTAGTTCATTGTGCTATTATGTAAATCCATGACTCCCTTAAATTTCCTGTGGAGTTTTCCGACATGGGGGAGAGGAAAATGTTGGAAGGTAGGAAAAAACCCTTATTTTCTGCTGTGACAAACTAGTCAGATACTTTGCTCATTTATGAAGGAAATGCAGGAGAACTGGTGAGACCTTCTTAATGCTCTTTAAGCCTAATCTTCACAGTTCATTTCATATTATTATCAAGCTTAAGGAAACTGACCTGCACTGTTAACTAGATTCAAAATTAGCTTGTAAGGCCTGTTTATTTGGAGCGAGAAGTGCAACAGCCAAGTCAAGCTTCTTGAGTAAAAAATCTCAGAGTACTCTCCTTAATTTCAGCTTTTGTAATATATTTTAGTACCGAATTTATCAATTTTCTAAATTGCTCCCCAAAGTATTCGTTGCACATGGGTTGGGTTGTATGTTATACTCACAGGTTTCTAATGGGGAACATGAGGTCCCTTAGTTTCATTAGTAATATGTCCTCAAACTACGAGTAGCATAGATTATTTCAGGGAAGATGGTCTTTTTTGAAGATGGTTGATACCTGTGGCCTTTTTTTAATATAGAGGTAACTACTCCTTCATCTGAATATCTTAGTTTTTGCCTTTTAGTCTGGTCTTAAGGATTCATCTGTCTTTAGGGTGTGACGTAAGTCCAGTGTCCATAGGTTTGTTTGTTTTTACAGTGTGCTTCTTAAATATTTAAACCTAGTCATTTCACTTTCACATTTCCCTTTCCCCCCTTTCAATTGCAGTGATTGCGGCTTTGCTCATATTACACACTGCTGTCCTCCTCTTAAAGTGCAAATTACCCGCTTAACATCGTTTCCCCAACTCTGAACAAGTTGTGTCTGTTCAGATCTCAGCTCTAGGCTCTTCTTTGTATACAGTGTTTGGCTTACAGTTTCTGTAATGAATGTTAGCTGGAAAATTGGGAGGTTGAATATTCTCCAGATTGGAGAAGAGAGCTCTGCTTCTAGTAGATGCTCACGTATCCTTTATGTGGGTAACACATTTTAAAGAACTCAAGGGATAGTAATTCAGTGTTTTGATTTAGCTGCCTTCTGTCAGAAGTGCTTTTCCTGACTCTTCTCAGGCGCTGTAGCTTCAGTTGCCGCCTCCACGATGGTATCTCCGTTTCTTCCTCAGATCTGTACAGCGGAAACGACCTGCTGAACGTCTGCACGTGTTACCCTTCTGTTCCTCTGACCTGATGTGCTCACTGCCGAATTCTTAGTCTGTTTCTTTCCAAATCTGTTCTTCCTTTAGCCACTGGATTAGTTAGCAGCTCCGTGATAAACACATACTTATTCAGGTGAAAAGATTCTTTCTCACCCACTGCATTTGGTCAGTCCTGCTAGTTCTATATTTTAAATATGCTTCCCATTTTATTCCTCTGTACTCACAACATCCGATTTGCTCCAGGCCTTCGTCCCTTTCCTGTTCCCGTTGTGAATGATCAGTCTCTGTACCGGCAGCCCTCCCAGGCGCCCTCCTCCGTTGCCATTGTTGAACTTGCTACAGTGAACTTACAGTTTATAATAAACAGTATAGCTTCCCTGCTTAAAATTCTCCAATGACTTCCTATTGACTTGAGAGTAAAAGCCCAACTTCTGAGCCTCTTAGAATGGCACATAAGGGTATCTGGCTCTCTCTAGGCCTGTGGTGCTCAACTGAAGCCAGCTGTGCTCCACGGGGGCTGTTTGGGGATCCCTGGAGACATGACTTGTTTTCCCAGCTGAGGGTGGGGGGTGGTGATAATGGCATCTTGTAGTCAGGGTTATAGATGTTGCAAAATATTCTACTATACACAGGAAAGACTGTCCCCTCCACCTTCCTAGCAAAGAATATCCAACCCCCCATGTCAGGGTGAGCTTGAGAACCCCTGCTCTAGCCTTAGTGAGCGGCATCCCTTCCCCATCCCTGCGCTTCAGCTACCTCTTACCACTTGTCATCCATCTAGAGCTCTACACAGTTTCCTGCCTTTGTTTCTTCTTTTGCGCTTTCTTGTGCCTGGAATTCTGTGAGGGCCATCCTCCAAATCCAAATTCTATTTGCGTATTTTCCAACTATTATATGCTAAAGCCCTTTGAAAGTAGAGAGGGGTTCTCCCATCTCTTTGCATTTCTGGTACTTGACATACAATACCTGATCTTACAGGCAATCAGTAAACTTTTGAATGAATAAAGAAAGGCACAGGCCGATCTGTACACAGTTTAACTTTTAAACTGGAGACTGTTCGGTCCCTCGAGTTTGCAGACGAGCCTCTCAGAGGTCAGGTAAGGAAGAGCAGCAGCGCAGGCACAGACACCTCTGTATCGTGGCAGCAGCGGGGCAGAAGAGAAGAGGGCGGGCCTGACATAGGCTGCGAAGTAGCGCATTTTAATGTTATCTCTGATACCTAGTTTCTTCACTTGGGTCTCTTAACATCTTCACTTTTTTTCCCTCCATCTTTAGATATCACACTTCAGTGGCTTATTCAACATTCAAAATCTAGAAGAAGCTGAAGCATCTCCTGAAGTCTTCCAGTCCTTCCTGGCTCTAATCCTAGAATTATTGTCCGTTCCTCTGAAGTACTTCCCAGAATACGGTCCTTCCTAAACCCAAGAAATTGCCTTTTTCAGAGTTTATTTCTCATGTGCACTGCTGAAGATGTATATCCCTGATCCTTCATAAAGAATCAGCTAGAGTTGTCATGATAAAGTCAACACACACAAAAAGACTTCCTATACATACTTGTCTTTAACAGTGTGTAGAGCTTTTTTTTTTTTTTTTAAACAAACAAACACACTTTTGACCATCCTAAATCGAGAAAAATTGCATACTTCTGTTCTGGTCTTTCTGGGCCAGGTTTTTCTATATGTTTTCAGTAAATGTGTATCTGATATTTCATTATAGAGTCCAGTAGCTTAATACTGATATTGACTTGATACAGCATGACGTTTCTAGTGCCACACACAGTATTTAGCAAACCTTTAGCTTGACTCATGTGGGATAGAAACATAATGTTTATATATCTCACAAATGCATGTGAAATATATAATTACACCTTAGGAATTTTTAAAAATGGTCTGCAAAGAGTGAGCAGAGGCACCAGATCAATGTTGTTATTGGTTCTTTACACTGGGAAGATCTTAGGCAATGAATTTTAAACACATTCTGCTCTGTGAGAGTTCTTCATCTCCAGAAAGCAGTTGGGGGTACGGGAGGAACTGAGGCATGCTGTTTTGTATCTGTCCAGATCATTACTTCTGTATTTTTTCTCCTTTATTTTCTCCTGGTTCAACACACTTTTTTAAGGGGTTGGGAATTGAAGATTTTCTCAAAAGCTTTCATGAATTTAGAGCATTCCAGCCAATATAATAAAACGTGTTAAGAATGTCAGACTGTTCACACACCTGTTTGTTCTTTCTCTGTCCAGTTATTAAACCAGTGTTGCTGCATGACACTCTAACTCTTGACTTTTTATATTCAGTCATAAAGTTGACTTTCAGCACAATAGATACTTAGAGATAAATAAAAAGTCTTATTTTTCTCTCTTACCGATACAAGCTTTGGCACTGTTCTCTCCGGTGCCGTTGGACATCCTGACTGTTGTGACAACTCTAGACCTGCCTGCTTTCTCTGATGTAATCATGCCCAGTCCGCAGGTTGTTGAATAATCACAGAGAGAGCGGAGGAACCAGTGCTGTCTGTTGTTTGCTTCTGTGCTGCAGAGATGTGTGCAGACTTCTGTGAACATGTTTTGTAGCTTAGTGATCTCCATACACATAAAGGGACATATGAAAACTGGATCACTTGTGAATCGTTACTTACATAGCCATCTGTAGTAGCTAAAAGTCTGTGGTACACCTGCTTATGTGTTGCCTCACACTGTGTGTGATTTTGTTTCTTTTGTTAAGCAGCACTCATGTAGACAGTGCATTTCCGAACGTGTTGAGCACTCAAAGTGCAGTCAGCGTCAGTTCTTTTAATGATACCAAGTTTTAATTTATAGACTGCCATGGCCTTAAAAATATTCTGTACAAAACACTGCATCGTGTTGCACAGACACTACTTGCTTTCCTCCACTCACGTTTTTATGAGTAGAACCTCAACTTTTAAAATTCTGTTCTTACTCTTTGATGCATGTTGCATACTTCCCTGATGGGATGGATGGTTCTGTAAACAAAGGGATATGTAAACTTGCTACTGTATCTCAACACCATTAATGGTCACTGTGAACCATTACCAAGAATGTGGCAACTTGCTTGTGCCTAAAAGGAGGAACCAGAACTCGAATGTGTAACTTTGCAGGGACCGCATAGGTTCGTTTAATTGACCTACAGCTGAACCGTAATGTGTTTGTGTGTCTCTTCATTGCTTCCAGCATTTCAAGACATCCAGACACTACTACCAACATTTTCCTGTGCATTAACTTCTGCATGTGAAACCTAACAGTTACCGAACTTTGTAAATACATGAATTTTTTTAATTTAGGTGGATGCATTTTTTTGTCTGTTTACTGCTCTTCTCAGCTTTATTCAATAAACTTGCATTTTGAGGGTTGTATTGACAGTTTGAACTTAAAATATGCATCATGATGGAAGGTGCTGACACATTGGAAAGGGGTTGGAAAGGTACCATGAACACAGTCTATAGACCATGTGCTAGAAGGAAATCAGCTCAGCTCTCAAAGAAGTGGGTCTGTGGGCCAGTTAAAATTGAAATAAGCACTTGAGTATTCACAGGACTGATGCTGCGATTTGTGGGGTGGGATGGAGGCAATGATATTACTTGGACTGGGCTTCCCTGGTAGCTCAGTGGTAAAGAATCCACTCCCAATGCAGAGACTTAGGTTTGACTCCTAAGTCGAGAAGATCTTGTAAACTGTCATAATACACCAAATTTAGGACTTTCTGAAAATAAGTGGCAAGAGCTAGTTAAACATTTTGTAATCCAGTTTTTAAAATCGTAACAAAACTATTAATAAACTGAAATTACAAGACATGTCTCCTTACTGACTTCAGTTCCAGAATGAAAAGATTTAATTAAAGTATCAAACATGGTGGTTTTTGCAGAGAGGCACACTTCTAAAGTAAAACATTTGATCTGTTTTGTTTAGTATGTTATCTTTCACACTGTGAACGTGAGCATTTATTCCATCAAAGCTATTGGGGAAATGATTTTATGTATTTTTTTCAGAGAAGTTCAACTTGGCTTTTCTTCCATATCTACACTGTCACTCTGTACAACCATACAGTGTTGGTCAGTGACGTGTGTGTTTTTACCTTTCTAGGATAGAAGTAACTGGGTATCAGCTTTAAGTTTTCAATTGAATTGGTGGAGCCATAGTCAAGCTGTCAATCTGGTCCTCAGCAGCTTCCTACTAAAGTGGTATTTTGAAGGAGGAGTGTTCTAGGAGCAGGGTGGGGAGAGGATATAAATTTAGCTTACTTTACCCTCTGTTCTAAGTCTGTATTTGCTTTCAAAAGTTGAGACTTCTAAAATTAGTCCCTTTGATTCTGTCAAGTAAATTAGATGAATTGGACTGTGTCTGCTTTTGTGTTTATTGTTTTTGACTAAGGAACTAATTGCCTTGTGTATTCTTTTCCTGTAGGATCCAGTTACACTGAAATGTTGCTTTGGTATAATCATTCAACCTTTTCAGGGACTGGAGGATTGAGAACTGGAGCATTAATTTTACTGTAGTTGGAACCATATCTGTAACGTCCAGTTGGCTGAATGTGTGTGCATGGGTGCTAAGTCACCTCAGTCGTGTCCGACTCTGTGCTATCCTATGGACTGTAGCCCACCAGGCTCCTCTGTCCCTGGGATTCTCCACACAAGAATACTGCAGTGGGTTGTCTTGCCCTCCTCCAGGGGATCTTCTGGATCCAGAGATCAAACCCACATCTATTAGGTCTACCTGCATTGGCAGGTGGATTCTTTACCACCAGCACCACCTGGGAAGCCCAACTGGCTGAATGCTTTTCTCTAGAAATGTGTCATTGGGGGAACCACTATGTTCAGTATGTGAAATATTTTCATTTTGTTCCAAACTTTAAAGGTTGTACCTTCAGTAACATGTACATCAGTGAAGATACTTGAAAAGGGAGACAGTTAAAGCAAACACTAGGCTTGCCTGATTTCCCTTCAGTTTGCGGTTCTACAAATAACGCAACCCATGGCAGGTGCTTCCTGTTGATTAGTAAATATCTTCCATACAATTTCTGTTTAAAATTCAGCTGTTAATAAAAATAGGTTACTTTTTTTTTTCTTTAGAAATAACATTGATTTTTAAGGGGGTATACATTTTCAGGATATTTCTCAGCTGGTAGAGAAATCTCTGTTTTTATATAACTGATCTTAGCATGCATTTTGAGCCCCATTCTGCTAGTTGTGGGAAACCTAATTTTGCTAATTGAAGGTAAATTCAGTCATCACAGGGTTTTCCCAATCAACTCAGTGTGGGCTAAATAAATTTAGGCTGAAATTTAAATTCCAGAAGTTGGGGACTTATACTGCATCACTGAATCGTAGATGAAGGGGTAAGAATGATTTGTCTGGCAGCAATCGTCTGGCCTGGAAGAATGAGTGCTAAGTTGCTTCATTTGTGTCCGACTCTTTGCAACCCCATCAGCAGTAGCCCGCCAGGCTCCTCTGTCCATGGGATTCTCCAGGTAAGGATACTTGAGTGGTTTGCCATGCTCTCCTCCACGGAATCTTCCTGACCCAGGGATCGAACCCACGTGTCCTGATTAGGTTACTTTTGTAATGGTTGCCTCTTGAATGTTCTTAGGAAAACGAGTCATTGAGGTACTAGACAGACTCAATGGGAAGTTCCTTAATCTGAACAACAGCCAAAGTCATTCATTATTCCCTTTCATTAACAAGCTCTCTCTGTAAGGTAATTTATTTTAAAATCCCAAGGTAGCCGGTGATTTAGGTAATGTGAATTTCCTGGAAGGAGTTGGGAAGGAGGGGATACCTTAACCTCATTTTACTGGGACTTGCAGGTCTTGTATTCATCAAAGGGTTGTGGTGGGAAAAAATTGTCACCTTAAAATGCTTCCTTAGCTTGGTTCCATGTGCTGGATGGGTGTTTAAGAGAATGAATTCTTTGATTTGCTGTTAATGATTGTGTGACTGGTGAGTTGCTGAATCCCCTTTGGCTCTGCAGTTTTTCCTTATGAAGAGTAGAGGATTTCTAATATCATTTCTCCCACTAACAAGCTCTGGTTCTAGCAGCCTAGAGATCTGGACGGTGGTGAGACAGAAGGCAGGGAAGAGATGAAAATCCTAGTGTCCAGTGATTATGTTAGTGTTGTGTGTTCCTCTTAAAATAATCCTAAAACCACAGAAATGTTTACCTTTCGTAACTTTAATTTTAACGTAGTTAAGGGCTAGAGATCACAGACATTTTACAGAATGACATAATAACTTATATTTTGTTTGAAGGAAATGCTGCAGCCACATGGGCTTTGAAAGCCATTAAAAATTTTCAAGCATTTCTCCCAGACTGCAAAAAAATATATTCTGGTATACAATGTGGAAAAATGTAAGCCATATATATATACTACCAATTTGGGGGCACACATTTAGAGTGAATGTTTAATATTTGATAACTGCTGTGTTGCTAGGGTTCTGCTGGAATTTATCTAGAGCTTGGAGAAACCTGGGGCAGTTAGAAAATACTTCCTTTAAAATAGTAAGGGAGGGGGAACTCCCCCAACAAAACTTTTGCTCCCTTTTGAGCTGGGGGAGTAGAACATCAACAGATTGCTAATTATAGTATGTCTCCAACCAGCTCTTACATAATCTACAGCCTTCAGTTTTGTACAGTCTGTATTACATAATGCACTATCTTGTTTCTATGTTTTAAGTGAGTCCATCTTTTCTACTATTACCCAGTACATGAATTAGATGACTCCTTTTTCTACTTGTATAATCCCCTAAGAAAAAAGAAATTGTCTTACTAGTAGCCAATTTATGAAATTGCTAGTTCTCCTCACCCTTAAGAGTTAAAAATCTGTATCATTCCTACTTTTTCTGGATGCATCAATAACTTAAGGGCTGGGGCATGTGGCATGAGTGGTGGTGATGAAAATTATTTTTGTTGGAAACTTGCTGTGTTTGATTTATAGCAGTTAGAACATGTGGGCAAGGAAGCTCACCACATTTTTTCTAAATTCCATTTATTTTCCCAATAATTTGATTTTTTCATATGTAAGCTCCATTATTCACCCACGGCTGAGTTACCACTCTTCCACTATCATCACTCTTAATATAAATTTCTTATCTTTTATTGTGTTTTCATATTGAAAAAACAAGTATAAACTTTTTGCTTTTATGAACATTACTCCAGTGGATCATTATGTCCACGTGCAGCAATTCACAGATACTCTGCGAGTTGCCACTTTGCCCCCCTCAGGGGATGTACTAGTTTTTATTTCCACTAGTCTCTGTCCCCTGTGTCTTTTCAACCTAGTGTGTTGACAGACTTTGGGACTAATGCCCTTAAAACAGGTACGAATACTAGTTCTCTACTGTCCAGTTTTAAAACAAATGTGAAATTTAGCTTTTCTTAACCAGCTAAGGAAACAGTATTACTGAATTATGGAGTTGGATCTTTACCAAATCAATCATGGGGTTACAGGTATTCCCCCCCCCTTTATTGTTTGTTTATTCTCCCTTACCCCCACCTTTATAAAGCAAGTATATATTGCTTCAGAAAGAAGCAGTGGTCAGAATTTTGAAAGTCATCATCATCACTTCTTTTTTTCACATTGTTTTGGGTAATCACTTATAACTTCTTGGAATAGAAAAATCCTTCCTTTTAATAGACTATTTTAGTCCTGATATTTCACATAGGAAGTTCTGGGACTACTCTTTAGGGTCATCAAAAGGCCAGAGGTTTTTTTTTCTGGCATTGCAGTTTTAGGAGGCTAGTGCATTGATTCACCCATGCAGCCTTATAAAACTGATCCCCAAAACTGTAACGTCTGTTTACAGTGGAGGATATCTTTGAAGGAACTGGAATAGATGTAAGCAGTCACCTTCAACTATCAAAGTCAGATGGAGATTGAATGGACCCTGATGTGTGGAAGCTGGACCAGGTTGAGTTAAATAGAGCTGGAATTAGACTTGATTCAAAGCTTTTTCAACTGTTTCTTAGACTATGGTGAGTTTTAGCCCTTGTCCTATTTTATACTCAGTTTCCTTAGACACATTTTTTTCCTCCTAAAATAATGCTTTGATAATAGGGGCTTATTTATATAATTCATCCAACAGACCTCAGCTGTTTATGTTCCAGGTACTTCTAGATGCAGGTCTTAGCACAGAATTCATGTGTCATAATAATAAAGCTCAAGCTGCCTAGGTGGATCATTGGTAAAGAATCCGCCTGCACTCAGGACACACAGGTCTGATCCCTGGGTTGGGAAGATCTGGAGAAGGAAATGGCTACCCACTCCAGTATTCTTGCCTGGGAAATTCCATGGACAGAGGAGCCTGCCTACAGTCCGTGGGGTCACGAAAGATTCTGACATGACTTGGCAACTAAACAACAG